TGGCTCATAGGGTTCTAGAGCTCAGGCTCAGTAGTTGTGGCGCGCGAGCTTAGCTGCTCTGTGGCACGTGGGATCTTCCCAGGCCAGGGCTCGAACCCACGTCCCCTGCATTGGCAGGCAGATTCTTAACCACTGAGCCACAAGGGATGCCCCAAAGTCTACTGATTTAAATGCTAATCTCATCTAAAAAAATATCTTCACAGCAAATCTAGACTAGTGTTTATCAAATACCTGGGCACACTGACCTTGCCAAGTTGATGCATAAAATACATCATCACACCCTGTTTCTTATTTTGCCAAAGTGTCTGAGTATTCAGAAGTCCACCATGGACTTCCACTCACCTGCTCCCCGTCAGCCTCAGGGCCCAGAGGTCACTTTGCCTTCTCCTCTCCCTTCACTGCTCCCCTTAGCTCCTGCCCAGCCCCTCCTTCTTTTAAGCCACACACTGTAATTCTCCCATCCTTAAGATGGGACCCATGCTCCCTTGGGAACTGCCACTTTTTCTTGCGCAACTGTCTCCACTCCCTCACCTCCTTTCTCTCTCCAAATTACTCCATCCCAGCAGCTCTACCACCTCTGCTCCGCTCAGGGGCCCTCTATACCAAATACTAGGGTCAGTATTCTTATCGGTGTTTTTCCTCATCTAATTTGTTCTTCCAGCAGCACTTATCTTCACGAAATATCCCTCTTTCTTGAAACACATTTGCCTGCCTGGGATCCCAAGGCTCGGCACTGCCCAGATTTCTCTCCAGCTCATGGTGGCTCCTCCTTCTCCTTCCCCTTTCCCCCCTTCCCCCTTTCTTCTTCTCCTCCCCCTCTGGATCTCCCTCCTCTCTTCCTAGTCTCCAAAGCTGGTGTGGCAGATCCACCCTCTCCAAGGCAGCTTCTCAACCTGCACTCGTCCGTCCCAGGGTCTCAATTCCTGCTCCGTGCTGGGACAACAGATTTCCACCTCCAGCCTTGGCTTTCTCCCTGGACAGTCATAACGATTTGTCTTTTGAGCATTTCAGACGTAGCAAGTCCAAAACACATCTTTGTCTCCTAACCCCTTCCCAGAAACCTGCTTTGCAGTCTCCTAGGCAGACCCTCCAATCACCCAACTGGGGCCAAAACTACAGCCGTTTCTCACTCCTTTGACACCCAGCAGCACACCATGGGGGAAATCACCACTGTTCACCAGCTGACTCTGGAATGGACCATGTCCTGCCTGCATTTCTGTGGCTGCTTCCAACATGACCTCTGCCTCCTCCAACCAGCTCCAATCTGTTCTGCACAGTGATCACGTAAAATCAAAGTCCCATCAGGCCATGCCCTCACTTGAAACCCTCTTAAGTGTAAAATCCAGAGTCACTCCATTCCAGCCTCCCATTTCTCCGGGGTGGGGGGGGACAAGCCTCCTGCTTTATGGCCTTTGCACATGCTGTTCCCTCTGCTGCAATGTCCTTTCCGCACACCTCTGTTCAGTTTGCCCTCCACCTGCTCTCTCCTCAAATGTTACCTTCTCATGAAGGTCCTACCTGACCGCCCCAGCAGGATCCTTCTTAGCCTGCTTTATTTTTTTCATGCCATCTACCATCTGATTCCCCTTTCCAGCTTCTAAAAGCCAGGATCTTCTGTCCACTATGGTCTCCCCAAGGTTGAAACAAATGGTGGCACACAGCAAGCCTTTCATAAAAATATACACAATCAGCAACATAATATAAACCAAATGAAATGTATACATTAAGTGTGAGATGGCTCAACGGTCCTTGAGCAGCACTGACATTCAGGGTTCTCTTTCTGTTGCTTCACTAGTGGTATCTGTCACAATCCCATCTCGTGTCAAGGAAAACTCCTTCCCATGGCCTCCAGTTGCCTCCCCACCTCCACCCTGAGCTGACACCCTACTGTACTTGCTCACTGGCTGCCTCACTGTGCTTCCACAACTTTAGGGCCTTTGCTCTCATGGTGGCTTCTACCTGGGACCCTGATCTCACCCAGGCTTGGGCTTGATCAACTCCCTCATCTCAGATGTCACAATCACAGTGGAACCTGTCCTGACCTCTTCTTTAATACTGTGACTGTCACCAGCTCATCCCCAGCACCCCTGTTCCCTGATGCTGCTCCATTTTCTTCTTCCTCTGCACCATGGATCAAACATAGCAGATCATGTTATTGATTTTGCTAACTGCCCGCCCTGCCCCTCTCAGCCATCCCCTCAGCCAATTGTGTTCACAGATGCACCCTGAGAACCTGGAATGGAGCCTAGTATAATGAACGCCTAGTAGGTACTCAGTACACATTTGTTGAACGATCTAATGGCCCCGCGCATTTAACGAGGTAGACAGCATCATCCTTTTTCTGGATGAGGAAACTGAGGCACAGAAAGGTTAAGTATACCTGAGATCACCTGGTTAGGAATTGATGAGGCAGGTTTTAACCCAGGTGCTCTGACTCATAACCCCTGTGCTAAGCGAAACACAGAATAAACACAAAGCTTCGAAGAGATAACAGTGTACAGGGAGATGTCAGGTCAGGGGAAGGAACTGGACATGGCAGGGAGGATTGATCTGATGCTGTGCGCTAGGAATTTCTGGGCCCTGCATTTTATCTGCTTTCGAACTGCAGTGGGCAGAACTGTGAGCACAAATTACCAACACTCAACAGGTAGTTCCCTGCCCAGTCACAGGGCTGGGAACCCAGGCAGAGGATCTGGACTTTTAGAGCAGGTTGCGCTATTTGCCAAAGTACCTTAGTCGGACCTGCCTTGGCGAATCCTTGGCTCTTCCCCAGCTTCTCCTCCAGGCCATGGTTCCTGGCTGGTGTTCCTGAGAAGGGGGTGCACGTGAATCCTGTTAACGCTGAGTCGAGTTAAGTCTGAAGGGGGTGGTTCCCACTTGTATCTGCAGGTTCCAGGTAAGAACTCTGGGTGGCCCTGCCGGCATCTGGCTCTATTTGGGGGAACAATCACTTTACACAAAAATGAGCGTTACTCCTTTGCTTTGATCCATCTCCTGCAAAAGTCACAGAATCCAAGCATACGGCAATTGGTGGCTCCCAGTAACTCCCCTACTCAGGAGTGATTATTCATAATTGAGAGGAAGAAACAAAAGGCTCCCAAGTCCAAGGAATAAGGAAAAGCAACACTGCTAAGAAATCCCGGTCCTCAGTCCATCCACCTCTCTCCCACCTGCTCAACCAGGCCACTTTCTTTCAGGGAACTGGTATTGTCCTACTTGATCTGAGAAAAATCATTTATCTGCAGTAGTGTATCACCTCTAGTAGATGTAGACACTTCTCTGCCTTCTTCCGTGGGGGAGTCCAACTTCAGTGCCAGGCAGATGAAGAAAGAGAAGGGTTGGTGGGAATCAGGCCTGCTCAGGGACCCGATACATGCTTGCTCCCAAACCCAAGAACCTGGAAGATTAAGGATGACCCCAGGAAGACCCCTCTGAGCCTTTGAGCTATGTTCAGCATAGGGCAGTGGCAAGGAGCCCTATCTAGAGGTCCAGAGGCCCTAATTCTTCTTGCCCCTCACGGCCCCTCGACCTCAAGTCAAAGTCCCTTAACCTGTCCCTCGGCCTCAGTGTGAACAGCTAGCTACACGCTACACTCAAGGGAGCAATAAGCACTCCGACCACCCACTGGGGGCCGGGATTGACCAAAGTCCCTCTACGCACTCCCCAGAGCTGTCCTGATGCTCAGAAGGGATGTGTAAGGGCCGCTGTGAAAGTCCACAAACCCCCCAAAAGCCGGAGCTTAAACCTTGGGCATCCGATAGATGACGAATCGGGGAGGTGACTCTTACTTTCTCCAGTCCTCGTCTCTTCAGCGGCCGCGGGCCGTACCTAGAGGAGGGGTTTTGGCTGGAAGGGGGTTGGACCTGCCAGGGCGCGGGGTGCGGGGCGGTAACACCGGGATTCTGAAATGTAGCGGCCCACTGTGCGCGGCAGCCTTCTTCCTCCGCTCCCCCTCCCAATTCCAGCATTCAGCCTCGGCTCCAGGATCGTCCCTTCCGGGCGTCCCCAAGCCCGTGTGGGAGTCCGAAGGGGTAGAACAGCGAAGAGAGGAGCCCCCAGGCCAACCTTCCCACACCGGCGGCTCTCCACGGCAGGGCGCACCCGCGCGAGCCCTCCCGCTGACCGTGTTCTCTGCACCCCCCCGATCTGCCACCCGCCTCCAGGCGCGGTCCTAGCTGAGCCTTCGACGACCCGGCCTCCCGCCCCGCCTCGACGCGCGCCCCCCGCGCGAGCCCGCGGGGAGGCAGGGCAGAGGCGGTGTGGTTGACCCACAAGGCCCCCGGCCAAGCTCCTAGGCCGTGTCGCGAGCGGAGCGGAGCGGGGCGTGGCAGGGCGGGGCGCGCCGGCCGGGCCGGGCCGGGGGTGTCGGATGTCACCCCCAGCGCACACCTCGGCCGGGGGGCGGAGGAGCGAACCACTGAGATGCGGAGACCTCCCCGGTCCTAGAGCGGAGCAGGAAGTGTCCCAGGGGAGGGAGCCGGAGGGCTTCGGCCTTTCCTTTCCTCCGCGTCCGGCGGGCTCCGGAGGCGGTCAGGCCTGCACGGCCCGCCAACTGGGACGCGGCGCGGCGGTGAGTGCGGCCCAGGCGGACCAGGCTTCTGTGGCCCGCGCGCCCTGCCTCGCTTCCAGGAGCCGTGCGGTGAGTCTCCGGGGAGGGGGATAAGACAACACAAATGTTGTTTTTCAGGCGCCTCCATTTGCTACCATTTCTTCCCTCCTAAGCGGAGCCGTGGTTTTCTGGATGAGCAGGAGACGGGGGCTCGGCTAGCCAGGGACGGAGTGGCCTCTGCAGAGAACCCGCCTCAGGAAGCACACCCGGGGGACCGGGCTGGAAGGATGAGGAGCTGCTGCCGCAGACTTCCGCCGCAGGAGGGATTTGAGTTAGACGCAGGGAAGGAGTTCCAGGCTGTGAGGTGAGGAGCCGGGAACTGGGTAAAGTGGAGGTGGATGTGTGTATGTGTAGGGAGGGAAAGGGAGAGAGGGAAAAGGAAGAGAGATCTGGAGCGAGGAAAGGCTTGCCCTTTTTCCTGGCATAAAATGCCCATCCCCTCCTCTTTCTGCTGATCCAGCTCTGTTCCTCCGCCTAGAGCTTCTTTAAGCATGCCCCGCCCCCCTGTGGGATCCTCTTGGGACCAACGTTAATTCATTCATCACACATCATTTCTGAGACTCCTGTGTGCCAGGTGCTAGGGTGACAGGAACACGGCTGTCTGGTTAGGGATGATGGGCAGAGCCTAGAGCCAGATGCCCGAGAGCGGGTATCTGAGTACTGACTGAGGGTGGGGCACAGGTTGGGTGCAGACCTGAGGAACCTAGAGGCCCTGCAGGTGTGTGATGGCTGAGTTCATGGAACGTGGCAAGTGAGTAAGGCTGAGATTGGGTGTCAGATGCAGGAGCAGACACTGGAGGAAATCCGGAGGCGGGGCAAGCTGTAGCGTGTCCAGCCAGATACCCTCAAAGTCCTTTTATGCCAGTCTGTATTTGTTTTTATGTTGGAAAGCAAAGAGCTATAGAGATTTGGGTTTTTTTGATTGCCATTCAGTGGCCTTGTTGTTCTTCTGTGAAGAACACTTGTCTTCCAGTGAAATGGAAACGAGGCCTGCGTTTTGCATGGAACCCTTGGGGGGTGGGGGCACTGAGCTGTTAAGATTAAGGTGCTGGCGTGCTGGGGAGCCTCATAAACCTGGTGAGGAGGGCAAGTGACCATGTCCAAGGATCTCAGAGGCCTTATGGTGGTGGTGGGGGACTGCGTGCGACCCCATGTGCCATTCATTTTCCCTGGGTCCCATAGTTTTGAGTAGTGGCCCCTACTCTCTGATGTCGCTCTGTATGTGTTCACTGGGGAGGTGGAGGGGCCCCTGAGCCCCACCCTACAATTATGGAGGCTGTGCCATGAGTGCCCAACCTCTGTTCTGCCTGAGAAAGGTCTGTGAGGTGTGTGTGGTTTTCTTCATTGTGGTTTGAAGAGAAGGCAAGATGGGTGGAGGCCAGGTGGAAGGTCCAGACATCGTTAAGTATACGCTAAAATTTACTATTCAGACTTCAGTGAGTTGGGTGGAGGTTCATCTGAAAGCACTGATGTTTTTAAATACATAATGTTATTTTTCTGTAGGAAACTCAGGATGTGGCTGCCTCTTTTGACTTTCTCCATCTCTTGTCTGGGGATCTTCTAGGCTGTCTGCTTTATTCCCTGCTTCCCAGTGCATATTCCACTGAGCAAGGCCGATTCTCAGTCTGTGTTGGTCTAGCACTGATCGTCAGCCCTAGCCACCAGCAGGATGAATTTCCTGGATCAGCTTTGAAGACTTTTCCTGTGCATGTCTGTCTTTGTCCTTCTAGCTCATTTTGTAAAGGTCTCAAGGGCAAGGACGGTGACTTTGGCTCTGAAGCCTCAAGATAGCGGCCTTCTCAGCTCGTCCATTTCAGGTCCTTTCCAGGAGGACCTGGACACTGAAGGTACCACAGAGCGTTAATTACATCTCTCTCCTGCATGCGGCCCTGTTGGTCTCCTGGGATGCTTGGAACGCCAGTGCCACGTTGAAATGCCACTGATTTTCTCCTGGACTCCCTGCCTTGTTTGTCCAGTCACCCAGTTAGGGGAATCACAAAATGATGCTTTTGGGAATGGGGTCATTCCTTCTCTCCCTTTGTTTAAGGATCATCCACACTGACACTTCTCACATGTCCCAGGGCTTCTCCCAAGGGCTGGTCTCTGTGGGCTTTTTCACTTTTCCCATCACCACCCCCAAAAAACTACTGCAGGAGACCAGAACATTGAAGCCAGTGATTTCTGTTTGGAAATAGGGTCGTCTTCTGCTGCTGACCCCCATCAAATCCCATCATGCCCACAGCCCTGTGCCCCCGAGTCTTGGCTCCGAAGGAAAGTGAGGAGCCCAGGAAAATGAGGAGCCCACCGGGAGAGAACCCTAGCCCCCAGGGTGAGCTTCCCAGCCCCGAGTCCTCCCGCCGCCTCTTCCGACGTTTCTGCTACCAGGAGGCGGCGGGCCCCAGGGAGGCCCTGCACCGCCTCTGGGACCTGTGCCGGGGCTGGCTGCGGCCTGAAAGGCACACCAAGGAGCAAATTCTGGAGCTGCTGGTGCTGGAGCAGTTTCTGGCCATCCTGCCCCGGGAGATCCAGGGCTGGGTGCGGGCCCAGGAACCTGAGAGTGGCGATCAGGCTGTGGCTGCTGTGGAGGCACTGGAACGAGAGCCGGGGAGACCCTGGCAATGGGTGAGCAGAGGGGGCTGGGCTGGGCTGGCTGGGAGGATGGGAAGGGAGAGGGAGAGAGTGGGGCTGGGCAGCAGGTGTGGAAAGGAGGGCCACCTTGTGCTTTGATGGTTTGGTGGGGTCACGCGTCCCCTGGCCAGGGATGAGGAATTCCATCTAGAGCTATGTGCTTCGGTTATGCCCACATTGAAGTTTGGTTTCCTAAAAAAGCAGATTCCATTCCCTAAAGGCCCTAATTGGTGGCATGGTTATGTTACCCCCGCCCCCGCACTTTATAGCCCTGTACAAGGCTGGGACTGAGCTTCTAGTGGTAGAGTCAACAGTCAGCAGGCCCAGGGAGGGAGGGGTTTGTCCAGTCCCTGGGACAGTTGCTGGTCCTCATCTGGCCAGGGACCTCTCCACCGAGCTCTGAAAAGCCCTCTCTGGGATTGCAGCTCAAGCACTGTGAAGACCCCGTGGTGATTGACGATGGGGACAGCCCTCCAGACCAGGAGCAGGAGCGGCTGCCAGCAGAACCCCAGAGTGACCTTGCAAAGAGCCAGGACGCCCAGCCCATGGCCCTGGCTCAGGGCCCCGGGCTTCCAAGCAGACTCTCGGGCCAGCTCAGCGGGGACCCAGGTAGGGAGCCCAAGGGAGTGGGGAAGTGGTGTTTGTACCTAGTCCTGTGCACTTGGAAGTAGCTCTTGACATTTGTAGTTCTCTCCTTCCCCCTAAGTAGCCTGGAACCATTTTCAGCATCTGGTTCTTCCCTAGAGCAATTCAATCAGAATCTCATGAGAGTATCCTCTTCATGGGTGCCAGGTCTGCCCAGAGGGACCTCTACTATGGGTAGGTGTTTTTGAGGCTGCATCATCTTGTCTCTTTGAGGGCGTACCTCTGGGCTTTGTTGGTCTGGGGACAGCTGGGCACCGTCGCCGTCCCATTAGGGCCCGTGTGGGGAGCTGAGCATGGCCATGTCCTCTTGTCTCTGTGAACCGCTCTTTCCCCAGCCAAACAACTTCCGCTCTCAGGATTGTTATAATGTTGCAAAGAAATATAAAAATGCTTCCTAGGGGATAGGGTGATATCTTCAGGACTTGGAGCATGGATGTTGGCTAGACGTGTCTGAATATCTGTACAAAATGCACCAATGGCCACAGTCAGGTGGCTTTGGCAGCAGATACACTTGGCTTTGAATCCTCCAGGTATGACCCAGGGCATGCTTCTAAACTCTGCAAGCCTCAGTTTCCTGGTCTGTCCAGTGGAGATAATCTCAATAAAGTGAGTCACATGAAATTTTGGTTTCCCAGTACATATAAAATTTGTGTTTACACTGTAGTCTATTAAGTGTCCAATAGCATTATGTCTAAAAAATCAATGTATATACTTTAATTGAAAATATTTTGTTGCGGACTATCATATGAGCCTTCAGCACGATGAAATGTTTTTGCTGGTGAAGGGTCTTGCCCCCATGCTGATGGCTGCTGACTGATCGGGTTGGTGGTTGCTGAAGGTTGGGGTGACTAGCAATTTCTTAAAATAAGACCACAGTGAAGTTTGCCTCATCCATTGAATCGTTCCTTTCACGAACAATCTCTCTGTAGCACGTAATGCTCTTTTATAGCATTTTACCCACAGAACGCCTTTCTTTTTAAAATTGGAGTCAGTCCTCTCAAATTCTGCCATTGCTTTATCAACTAAGTTCATATAATATTCTAAATCCTTTGTTGTCATTTCAGTAGTCTTCACAGCATCTTCACCAGGAGTAGATTCCATCTCAAGAAACCACTTTCTTTACTCGTCCATAAGAAGCGACTCCTCATCCATTCAAGTTTTATCATGAGATTGTCGCAATTCAGTCACATCTTCAAGCTCCACTTCCAGTTCTGGTTCTCTTTGCTGTTTCCACCACATCTGCAGTTTCTTCCTCCACTCAAGTCTTGAACCTCTCAAAGTTATCCATGAGGATGGGTATCACCTTCTTTCAGACTTCTGTTAATGTTGATATTTTGATCTCTCCCCATGAATGTTCTTTTTTTTTCTGGCTGTGCCGCGCAGCTTGTGGGATCTTAGTTCCCCAACCAGAGATTGAACCTGGGCCCCGGCAGTGAAAGCACCAAGTCCTAACCAGTGGACTGCCAGGGAGTTCCCGTGAATGTTCTTACTGGCATCTAGAACGGTGAATCCTTTCCAGGAGATTTTCCGTTTACTTTGTCCAGATCCATCAGAAGAATCACTGTGTATGGCACCTATTACCATGTGAAATGTATTTCTTAAATGATAAGACTTGAAACTTGAAACTACTCTTTGACCTGTGGGTTTCAGAATGGATGTTATGTTAGCAGGCATGAAAACAGTGTTAATCTCGTCCATCTCATCAGGGAGCTCTTGGGTGACTAGTCAAAAAGCAGTACTATTTTGAAAGGAATCTTTTTTTCTGAGCAGTAGATCTCAACAGTGGGCTTAAAGTATTCAGTAAACCATGTTGTAACCAGATGTGCTGTCATCCAGGCTTTGTTCCATTTATAGAGCACAGGCAGAATAGATTTAGCATAACTCTTAAGGGAAGTTTTAGTAGTTTTGGAATTGTAAATGAGCACTGGTTCCAACTTATAGTCACCAAATGCATTAGCACCTAACAAGAGAGTCAGCCTGACCTTGGAAGCTTTGAAGCCAGGCATTGCCTTCTCTCTAGGTCTGATAGCCCTATAGGTGGCATCTTCTTCCAATATAAGGCTATTTTGTCTAAACTGAAAGTCTGTTGTGCAGTGTAGCCACCTTCATTTCATGATCTTGGCTAAATCTTCTGGATGACCGGCTGCTTTACCTTGGACTTTTAGGTTATGGAGACTGGCGTTTTCCCTTAAACCTCGTGAACCAACCTCTGCTAGCTTCAAGCTTTTCTTTTTCAGCTTCCTCACCTCTCTCAGCCTTAATAAATTGAAGAGAACTAGGGCCTTGTTCTGGATTAGGTTTTCGCTTAAGGGAAGGTTGTGGCTGGTTTGATCTCTCCAGACCACTAAAACTTTCACCATATCAGCGATAAGGCGGTTTTGCTTTCTTGTGTGTTCATTGGAGTAGCACTTTTAATTTCTTTCAATAACTTTTTGTTTGCATTTGCCGCTTGGCTGTTTGGTGCAAGAGGCCTAGCTTTCAGCCTGTCTCAGCTTTTGACGTGCCTTCCTCACTACGTTTAATTATTTCTGTCTTGATTTAAAGTGAGAGGTATGCGGCTCTTCCTTTCATGTGAACACTTAGAGGCTATTGTAGGGTTATTAATTGGCCTAATTTCAGTATTGTTGTGTCTCACAGAATAGAGAGGCCCGAGGAGAGGGAGAGAAGTGTGGGAGCCACTGGAACACACACAACATTTATCAGTTAAGTTTGTTGTCTTATATGGGCATGGTTTACGGCACCCCAAAACAATTACAATAGTAACGTTAAAGATCACTGATCACAGGTCACCGTAACAAATACAATAATGGAAAAGTTTGAAATGTTATAAGAATTACCAAAATGTGACACAGAAACATGAAGTGAGCAAATTCTTTTGGGAAAATGTTACCAGTAGGCTTGTTTGATGCAAGGTTGCCGCAAACCTTCAGTTTTTTAAAAAAGTAATATCTGCAGAGTGCAATAAAATGAGGTATGCCTGGATACCCATAAAATACTGAACAGGGGGCCTGAGCTGCCCATGGTTTGTTTGGTTTTTTTTTATTTTTTTTTTTTGCTGTGCCATGCAGCATGCGGGATCTTAGTTCCCTGACCAGGGATCAAACTCGTACCCCCTGCAGTGGAATCATGGAGTCCTAACCACTGGACAACCAGGGAATTCCTGCCCATGATTTCTAGTTGAAGTAATTAATCATCGTGGAAAGAAGTGGTGCTCTCAGTTTGAAGGAAGTGACCTGTAGGGCGTGAGGGTTAGTTTGGGCAGACTTGGGCTACAGTTGTGCTATAGTTATAGATGGAAAAAGAAAGCATGAGGAGACCAGGAATGCGTTCTTACGACTCACAGAAGTTGTCCTTGTCATTGTGATAAGGTTTTCAGTTTTTAAAAGTTACATATTACATTTCTTTATGTGTGAAACTATACTGATTTCTGTACGAATCAAATTAATGCTCCAGCCTCTCCTTGGTTAAAAGTCAAGACAGATGTGCTAGTTTGTTTGGGCTGTCATAATAAAGTCCCACAGGCTGGGCAGCTCAAACAACAGAAATTTATTGTCTCACGGTTCTGAAAGCTGGAAGTCCTAGATCAAGGTATCAGCAGAGTTGGTTTCTCCTAAGACCTGATTCTCCTTGGCTTCTAGACAGCCGTCTTCTCCCTGTTTCCTCACATGGTCGTCCCTCTGTGTGTCTGTGTCGTAATCTCTTATTATAAGAGCCTCAGGCATATTGGATTAGGGCTCACCCCAATTACCTCTTTGTAACTTAATTATCTCTTGAAAAGCCCTATGTCCAAATCTAGTCCCATTCTGAGGTACTGGGGGTTGGGACTTCAACATATGAATTTGGCAGGGATGCAATTCAGCCCATAACCACAGGCATGAGAAACAACCATTTGCCCAAATAAACAATGCATGTGCAAGCAGCCTGGGTTATGCAGGTTGATGATGGCCATGACAGGACCCTCAGGAGGAGGAGGTGCTTCAGGAACTGTAGCAGGCTACTCGCTTCGGGGTGAAGTTCTGAGATGATCCAGCTACCATGGATGGGCTTTGGATCAAAAGGGTCAACGCTTCCATTTCTTGAGCAATAATGAATGGACAAAGTAGGCATGATGAGAGTTAGCTATTGACACCTTAAACGTTCAGGTGATGTATCATTGGGAAGCACTTCCAGTAAAAGCCATATAGTTCCTAATCTTGAAGCTTTTCCCCCAAATACAGATTTTGTTTAGAGGCTGAAAGCTGTCCAAAGTAATCTTTAAAGCGTCGATGTGCTCACTTATCATGGTGAAAGATAGGGTAGGGCTGTGTTTTATACCCCAGAAGGTGGCAGGTATGAGAGCCGGATTAAATCATGCCTTCCTCGAATCCATGCCCACCTAGCCTGAGCTTCTGGCAGTGGAGTGATGAGGTTGCCTTCCGTGGGGAATTCTCCTCACACACCCCCACCCAAGTGTCACTACTGGTCTGAGCTGGCTCCTGTCTCAGGCTGTCGTTCCAGATAGCCACACCTGCCCCTGCTGTTTGCCGAGCGCTTTATGTCCCAGGTGTGAGAGGTGAGGAACACTGGCTTCTAATGTTAGCTTTGACACTCATTTCACATCATGAGCTGCGGGTAACCTCCCAGATTTTCTCCGAACTGAGAGGTGATAGTGCAGCTTATTCTGTGAAAGGGCTACCTTTTGAAACACAGCTCATTTCGACATGGCTGCACCATGGGCCAGGTATGTGGCTCACTTCTTGCAGAAGCCTGGGCACGTGCTGGTCAGGGGAGAGAAATCATATGAGAATGTAGCAGAAGCCCTTGGGAGCCCAAGATAAGGGAGAGTGAGATGATCCCAGTACTACAGTGTGTACACATTTTGAGTGGTGGTGGTTGGGCACTGTGGGAGGTGCTCTTCCAGGAGCATCTGATAGAGATAATAGTCTTTCTTAAAGAGCTTTGCAATTTATAAACTTATAAATGTATAAATTTATATGACACTGGGAGTCCCACAGTAATCTTAATTGCTAACAGCTCTTACTGACCCCTTTTACTCCATGGACCTCTAACCTTCATTTCCCTTGTATTGTGGATGATACAGCTGACGTCCCTGGACCTTCAGGGAGTCACATAGCTAGTTGGTGGCAGAGCCAACTGGACCCCAGGCATTCCCCGTTACTGCCCCCACTGACATGTCTGAAAGCAAAGTGACAGAAATCCTTATTTTGCAAGTGCTTTTTTTTTTTTAACTTAAATTATTTATTTATTCTTTGGCTATGTTAGGTCTTTGTTGTTGCGTGCGGTCTTTCTCTAGTTGCAGCGAGTGGGGGCTACTCTTCATTGTGATTTGTGGTGGCTTCTCTTGTTGTGGAGCACAGGCTCTAGGTGCGCGGGCTTCAGTAGTTGTGGCTTGTGGGCTGTAGAGTGCAGGCTCAGTAGTTGCAGTGCACAGGCTTAGTTGCCCCGCAGCATGTGGGATCTTCCTGGACCAGGGATCGAACCCGTGTCCCCTGCATTGGCAGGCGGATTCTTAACCACTGCGCCACCAGGGAAGTCCCGCGGGCGTTTTTTATGTGCATCATCTGGTAATCCTCTTTCTACAGGTGAAAAAAGAGACCCAGGATTTTATGAGCTATCCATTTCTGATCTCTTTCAGTCCTGCAAGACTCTCCCCTTCTTCAGGAAGCGAGTTTGAGGGACGCACAGCAGGTGACTGCCCTCCAGCTGCCCCCGGTGAGTGTTTTCTTCAAGGGTCTTTGAGAACCCCATATTTGCCTGTCTCTAAGCTGCATGGCAGCTTTTCCAGGACCCCAGCCAGCTTGCTGTCTGCCCCACAGGTTGTTCAGCCCTAGCAGAGAAAAACTAATACAGGAAGGGCATGAGTTTGTAAGATGCTCTTCTGCATCCCTCCTGCCTGTAGTCCTGGCTGTTGGTCACCTTCGGGAGCCTTTGTGCAGACAAAGATGGTGGAAAACAAATGCCCTGGAGTCCTCGTCTGTTGTCCTCTTGGCATCTTAGAGTTCCTTTCCTGTGAACAAAGAGAGACCTCTTCACTCTTTTGCTTCATAGGGTATTTTTTTTATTTAACAATAATCACGGTAGTAGCTATTTCAGAAGCATGAGGAAATGGAGGGAAAAAGCACAGATTATTTCAGCACCGTCACACAACCGTGCAGTGAGTCGCTAGGGGATCTCCTCTGCAGTTCCCCCTTCCATGTTCCCTCACGAGGCTTACGTTCTCAGGTGTCCTCACAGGATAGGGGCTGGTGTTGGTCTGGCAGGTGCTCTCACCCACCTCTTTTCAGCCCGGTTTCTGCCTTCGGCCTCGGTTTCCCACCATACCCCTTCATTTTTATTTCTAACGCTTTCCATTGGCTGGCATAACATTTAGTTGCTGTACCACAGAGTCATCTCCTCCCACAAGAATGGGCTGTGTGAAGGTATGGACTTCGTCTTGTTTCTGGTCCCCTGGCAGCTGGAAGACTGAAGGACAGTAGATGCACAGGAAACACATCTCACGTTTGCTGTCTGCACAGTGCATTCGATAAGACTTTAAACTTGGGGAGTGGAGAGGGCTCAGGATAGGAAGGGATTAACCAGGGTACATGGGATGGGGTGTCTCTATTCCCTCAGTGCCGTACTCATGGGCCCTAGTGCTCAGCACACATGTTTTAGCATCCTCTATGTACTGTGATAGTTCTTGAACACAAATGACCCAAAGGAGGTGAAACTCATATTTCTTATTAAAACTTGATACCTTTGACCAGTATGACACACAAGGAGATACTGTGAATTTAATATCTAATGAGCTTTGGTATTCATCTTGTGAAAGGAAAATGTAGATTTTGATAAATCAGTGCTGTTTTATCACCCTATTGAGGACAGTTTCTGCCTAGTGCACTAGAAATCACCATTGTGAAGGCCTTTTTTTTTTTTTAGTTTTTAAAAAAAATGCATTTGTGGTAGAATGTGCATAACATAAAATTTAGTATCATAACCATTTCTAATGTACAGTAGTGTTTTTAAGTGTTCAGTAATGTTAAACATATTCACATTGTTGTGTAGCCAATCTCCAGTATTTTTTCATTTTGCCAAGTTGAAATTCCTCACAAATTAAGTAATTAATTCCCTCCATTCCCTCACACCCCCAGCCCCCTGAAAACACCATTCTACTTTTTCTATGATTTGACTACGCTAGATAGCTCATAAAAGTGGAGTCCCACGGTATTTGTCTTTTTCTGACTGACTTATTTCATTTAGCATAACGTCCTCAAGGTTCATCCATGACGTTAACATGTGTCAGAATCTCCTTCCTTTTTAAGGCCGAATAATATTCCATGGTATGTATGTAATGCATTTGGTTTATCTGTTCATTCATTGATGGACACACCTTTTATTATAAATAATGCTGCTATGATCATGGGTGCACATAAAGTTTATATATTTTTTATTTTTTTACACAATTGTAGATTCACATGTAGTTGTAAGAAATAACAAGAGATCCCTTGTACTTTTACACTAAATGGTAACATCTTGTAAAAATATAATATAGTATCACAACTAGCATATTGACATTGATACATATAGGATACAGATCATTTGCTTCACTGGAGGATCCTTCATGTTGCCTTTTATAGCCAAACCCACTTCTCTTTTACCCCATGCTCTCATCCTTCTCTGACAACCACTAATCTGTTTTACATCTCTGTAATGTTGTCATTTCAAAAAAATTACATAAATGGATTTATCTGCATTAATTCTGTGGAGCTTCAGCCAGGGTTTTACATGTATCAGTAGTCCATTCCTTTTTTAGTGCTGAGTAGAATTCCTTGGTTTGGATATACCACAGTTTGTTTAACCCGTTACCTGTTGAAGGACATCTAGGTTGTTTCCAGTTTGGGGCCATTTTGCATAAAGATGCTGTAAACATTTGTGTACAGGTTTTGTGTGAACATCGGTCTTCATTTCTTTGGGGTAAATGCACAGGCATTCAGTTGTTGGGTTGAATGGCAAGTGCCTATTTAGTTTTTCCGGGAACTGCTACATCCTTTTCCAGAGTGACTGTACCATTTTGCATTCCTATGAACAATGTACGACTGATCTACATTTTTCACATCCTCCCACCATTTGTTGTCACTTTTTTTATTTTAGCCATTCTGATAAGTGATATCTCATTATGGTTTAAAGTTGCATTTCCCTAGTGACTAATAATGTTGTACATCTTTTCAGGTGCTCAGCTGCCATGTAAATATCCTCTTATGTGAAATGTTTCTTCATGACTTTTGCCTGTGATCTAATTGGACCATTTACTTTTTCACTGTTGTTTCAAGAGCTCAGTATATATTCTAGATACTTGTCCTTTGTTGGATATGTGTTTTGCAAATATATCCTCTCACTCTGGAACTTGTCTTTCCATCCCTTTAACAGAGTTTTTAGCAGAGCAAAAGTGTTAAATTTGGATTAAGTCCAGATTGTGAGTTTTTCCTTTTAAGGATCATGCTTTTGGTGTAAAGTCTAAGAACTCTTTGCTTAGTCTTAGATCCCAGAGATTTTCTCCTGTTTTTTTCCTAAAAGTTATATAGTTACGTACTCATTTTACGTTTAAGTCCATGATACATTTAATCCATGATCTGTGATCCATTTACATTTAAGTCCGTGATCTCTAAGTTTTGTATAAGGTGTGAGACTTAGGTCAAGATTCATGTTTTTTGCTGGTGGACGTCCAGTTGCTCCAGCACCATTTGTTGAAAACATTGTCTTTCCCCCACTGAATTGCTTTTGCTCCTTTATCAAAAATCCATTGAGCATATTTGTGTGGGTCTTTTCCCAGGTTCTCTGTTCTGTTCTGTTGATCTTTTTGTCTCTCTCTCTCTAATAGTACATAATTTTGATTACTGTACCTTATACTAAGTCTCGAAATTAGGTAGATTGATTCCTCCTTTTTTATTTTTTTTTTTCTCAAAATTATTTTAGCTATTTTAGTCCCTTTGCCTTTCTCTGTGAATTTTAGAATAATCTTGTCCATATCTATAAAGGGTATAACTGAGATTTTGATAGGAATTTTGTTAAACCTGTATATCAATTTGGGGAGCATTGACATTTTTATCATCTGAATCTTTCAATCTGTGAATGCAGAAGGCTTCTCCATTTACTTATTTTTTTGATTTCTTTCATCACTGTTATGTAGTTCTCAGCATATAAATTTTGTATGTGTTTTGTTAGATTTATATGTAGGTACTTCATTTTTTGAGGAATTATAATTTTTATTTTTAATTTTGATAATAACACATCCATTTATAGTATAAGAAACACAATTGATTTTTGAATGTTTATTTTCTATTCTGTGACCTTGCTGGATTCATACATCAGTTTAAGGAGGGTTTGGGGTTTTTATTTTATTTTAAACAGTTCCTGGAGTTTCTCTGTAGACAATCGTGTCATCTGCAAATAAAGGCAGTTTTCTTTCTTTCTTTCCAGTTTTTATGCTTTTATTTCCTTTTCTTGCCTCATTCCACTGGCTAGAACTCCCAGCACAATGTTGAATAGCAGCAGCGGGGACAGACATCCATCCTTGCCTTGTTCCCGATATTAGGGGGAATGCATTCAGTCTGTCACAATTAAGTATAATGTTAGCTGTAAATTTTAAATAAATTATCAAGTTGAGTAAGTTTCTTAATTCCTATTTTTCTGGAGTTTTTATTATGTGTGATTGTTGAATTTGTCAGAACCTTTTCTACTTCAGTTGATATGATCATGTGAATTTTCTTTAGGCTGTTAATATTATGGATTGTATTGTTTGAGTTTTGAACCAGCCTTGCTTCCCTGGAATAAACACCTTCTTGTCATATAAAATCCTATTTATATATTGCTGAATTTTATTAGCTATTATTTTGTTAAGGTTTTTTTTTTTTTTGCTAAAAAGCAATCCATTTATTTGAGTGTACTTTTTTAAGGCAATTTTAACTTTTTCCACTGCCGTAACACCACTCTGTATTTCTCACTGCTGGTCTTCTCTTCAAACACTTTTTTCAGGAGAATCCTCATCACTGTCTCTGTTTCTGCTTCTCTATCCTCTCCAATTAGAAGATCCAGTGTATCTCCCACTTTCACCGTTCTGCTTTTCTTCCATAATTTTTCCCCGTTCAGCCTGAGTTCACCTTTGTAGAATGCATCTTCCACTTTGTTTCTCCCGATATCTAGGCCCGTCTTCAGGGTAACGTCATATCGGAAAGACTGCACTACTTTGTCCAGGTCCTTATGGTCTCTGACCGCACTGGGGTCGTCCTCTGGCTCCTCTTCCTGCTCACTCATCTCATGAGTCCCCTTCATCTTCCACTTTTTGCAGAGTCTTTTTAGTGGATTTTTTAGAGCTTACATTACTTTTTTTTTTGCGGTACGCGGGCCTCTCACTGTTGTGGCCTCTCCCGTTGCGGAGCTCAGGCTCCGGTCGCGCAGGCTCAGTGGCCATGGCTCACGGGCCCAGCCGCTCCACGGCATGTGGGATCTTCCCGGACCGGGGCACGAACCTGCGTCCCCTGCATCGGCAGGCGGACTCTCAACCACTGCGCCACCAGGGAAGCCCGCTTACACTACTTTTGAGTCTTACGGAAAATGGGAAGATATATTCTTGAGATATTAAAAGCCCTGAGAGTCTCAGTGAGAAAATGTTATGGAAAAATGTTTTATAATTTGAAGCATTTAACTTGGTACTAGACAAATACAAGTATCGATTC